CTTCGTTGGAGGTTTTTAATAAAAGTTCATCAACACAATGCTCCATTTTTGAGTCACATTCAAGAATATCTGCTAGCTTTCTGAGGCTATGGCCGAGTTTGAGGGCCAAGGATGGAGTCTTGTATTGATTTGTTTCCTCATCATATCCAGCCACAGACCTGACTGCATCAATCACATGGTTAAAGTTGGAAGGAATAAAGAAATCCTTAATTGTTTTCAGTTTCCCTGCGGTTTTTGCTTCGTTAATTAACCTACCGACTTCTCTCATTTTCTGCCTAATGTAATCATGCTTTGTCTTATCATGCCCGTGTTTTAAGTACAGGTGCTCTCCGAGTCTCAGAATCCCCTTTTCTGCTTTGACAACACCCGTGACCTCATCCTGATGCATTGCCGAAATTAAAGACCACAGCTTTTTGCTGATGCCCTCCGGTACAGGCTGGGCTAGGGAGCAGAGGGACTGGACCCTACTTCTACCTGGTTTAGCCTGGTTTAGCCTGGGCATCTTTCTGTGAAAGCCGGCACCTGGCCACATGCCTCCACAGCGACTTTCGCTTAAGCAATGCCCCACAGTCTATACAGTGCAAAAACTCACTGGATTTAACTGGGGAATTTGGCTGTTTAGCTGGGACTAAAGTTCCAATGCCGGCCTTTAAAACCTCAAAATTGTGCTCACGGTTTCCACTATTCCTGATCAAATCAAACTGAAGTTTACGTGCTTTAGATTTCACAGGTAGAGCCAATGCTCTGGCTACGTCACTTTCATTTCCATGTTTTCTAGTCAAATGACGGGACATTTTGTGGGAGGACTTTGAACAGTAGAGGCAGAAGTGTCTCTTGCTGTATACTCGCCCCCCATTTTTCTTCTTTTGCAGCTGCATGATAACAATCTTATTTGCCTTTGGTTCGTCACTTTCCGAGTCTTGAAGAAAAGTGTTTTTGATTTTTCTTTTTCCATACTTTTTTACAGGTTTCTTCTTGACAGTTAAATCGTCAGAATCTGAGTCGACTTCATCAATTAGGGACTCTTGACTAAGCTGCACAAACAACAAATAATTTGTAATCATTCTATATAACAATTTGAAGTCATGACTTGTAGTCAGCACTTACCAGTGGTTTGTAAGCGTGCGCTTCAGTGTGCTCCTCCATTATTTCTTGCAGCCTAATGAACCACACACTTGCACCTTTTTCTAGCCTGACACCTGATTTCCTCTGTTGTGCTGCTCCATGATTGGCTCCAGCCTGCTGGACTGAAATTGCCCCAGTGTGCCCCTCCTTGATATCCCGCAACCCACCACCAGGGTTCCGACACATAACACACTTTTTTCAGGAAAGTAAACCTCCAGGGGTCCTTTCCATATTTTTACAGAGACTGCATAAGGACCGTTAGAAAAGCATTACCCATTGATTATTAAGCTTGGACCAGTGGGGTCCGGTGTTCGGGCCCCACCACGTAAAACCAGTCCCCATGACGTGAGTGGAATCTCAGGTTATGGAACCCACCAGGAGTTGAAAACAAGTGCACACACACACACACACACACACACACACACACACACACACACACACACACACACACACACACACACACACACACACACACACACACACACACACACACACACACACACACACACACACACACACACACACACACACACACACACACACACACACACACACACACACACACACACACACACACACACACATAAACACACCAAATCCAAAGAAGGAGCAATATCCAGACCTAGGGCTGTAACAAAGATAATATAGAAAAAAAACCTGCTACGTTTGCCCTCCGCAGGCGTTTATCCCTCTCAGTTTTCTCTTCTACCCGAGGTCAGGGAGCATGAGGGTTCTGCTCAGTATCTTTGCTGTTCCGAGCACTACACAATTCTGGACTGAGATTTCCGAGGTTGTTCCAGGGATCTGCTGTAACCACTCCTTCAGCCACAGGGTCACTGCACCGAGCGCACCAATCACTACCGGCACTACTGCCACTTTTACCATCCAGGCCCTCTCCAGCTCCTCTCTGAGCCCTTGGTATTTCTCAAGCTTTTCGTGTCCTTTTTTTCTGACGCTACCGTTGCTTGGAATGCCACATCCACCACCACTGCTTTTCTCTGCCCTTTGTTCACGACCACAATGCCTGGTTTGTTCGCCATAGCCATTCGGTCGGCCTGTATCTGGATGTCCCACAGGATCTTTGTGCTTTCATTCTCCAGCACATTTGCAGGAGTTTATCAAATATAGATGTTATCTTTTGATCCCGTAAGACACTAATCGTTTTCAATTTCTGTCTGAAAAAGCTGATGTAAGGACATAGGCCAATAATGCATGCACAGTAAAATCAGATATTGAACCACACTGTTAAAGAACCGTGAACTAGTTAGATGCAGTTTACTCCATAGTTAGGTAAGGTACTACAGCTTGAAGTCTAAGGAAAGAATAGTGGGAATATGCAGTATAATTGCAAATAGGAATTTTCCATCAAAAAATAATTAGAATAAAAATGTGTCTGCAGGTGAGAAAAATCCTTGAGACATTTTTCTTTTGACTTGCTCTTTAAATCACTGCTCGAGCGACACATACAGCCCTTTTGTCTGGGAACAGCATGGATCGACAGAGGTGCCCTGTGCAGCCATCCAGGTGTTGAGCTTGGCAGAGACAAGAAGAGGTACCCTGTCAACCTTTCCGTCCGTGTTGGAACAAAGAGGATGCTTACACGCAGGAATAATTGACGAGATCATGTGGTACTTGCTTCTCCTTTTGGCAGGTACTTTCCGAGTCTACACAGCTGTGTTTTTGACATCCCTTAGAGGAATATCTTTCCAGCTTCCCTCTGAGAGATGGCAAAAACAAGGATAAAGAAAATCTCTCAGCCAAGCAAAAGAAAAGAGTTAAATTAGCTGTGTCTTTGAATTTGTATACACCAGCACATGCAGCAGCAACCAGGGACACTTATTGTAATTTTGATTCCCATTCATAACAGAGGCTCGGCAGGACATTGGATAAGAAGGTCTATGAAGACTTGATTAAATCTGGATTAAATAAATATTCATCACAAAGCTGCCAGATGTTACTGTTAGCTCTCAAAATACGATTGTCCCTTATGTACATCCTTCTAACAGACACCAGGGGTTAACAAACCAGTGCAGACACAGAGAATGGAAGGCACATAATCCATCAAAAGCTAAACAAGATCCGTACCAAATTGCACTGGGACTCTTCCACAGTAGACTGGTGAGCATGACGTCCAATCCCTCTGGAACGACACCTGATAAATGTGCATGCTTATCGTACCAGGGAATGTTTTGGAGAGAGGTGGCCACCCTGTTGCCTATTTGTGATAGATAATACTGTTCACTGATATGGGAACACTATTCAACTCACACAAAAGGCTTGCAAATGTCAAATTTGCATGGGGACAGAGGGAAAAGGAATCAAAGTCTAGCATAACATCATCTAGAAGAATGGGTAATTTAGCTTGCAGAATGTGTACTGGTTTCATATATTATACATAATGTTCATGAAGGGGATTTTAACAGAAAATGCACTCTTATAATTTAGTGTATCAAAACAGTTACACATTCAAAAAACAAAATTATAAAAAGGTCCACACACAGCAGTGTCTTTCTGAATGTGCATTCAGAACCATGGACAGCGACTGACAACTACTGCATTCTAAGTGTGGAACTCGCAGCAGTTCAAAGTTCTATTGCCCACCTCATATATCTTTTACACCCAATATTGAGGGCCCAAACAAGTACATTTGTTTTGAAAAGGCCAAATTGATTCTGCTACATGTTTTTTTACTCAGCATGTGGCTATCTTTTTAATTATTCAGTTGAAAATGCGTTTGATCTGTGCACCTAACAGTGCTGCAACCTCCCTCTCAATCATTTGTGAAAATCTTAGAGGCTTAAAATATATGAAAAATACAACATCAGCACCACATTTATTTTTTACTGCACATTCTTCCATTCCTTTTATACTGTCACAGGGTATTTTCTACCCAAAAGTGGAGGACAAGTACAAAATCACCTGTTGAAGCTGACGATTTCAGCCATAAACCTTGGCGTAGTGGTGCTTTTTGACCTCCTGTGTAGTTAATTGCATTCACCTGGTCTCCCAGGTGTGAAATATTTCCTGTTAGATTGTCAGAACAAAAATCAGCATGATCCTGGCTCCTGAGGACTGGTTTTGACAATTGTTGCCATAGAGAACATTTCCACCAAGCTCCACAGCTGTGTCGATCATAACGGCAGCTCTGAAGCCCATGGCCCCGCTGCCTATTTTCTTTTGTGACTTCTAGATCAACTGAAAGGCATAATGAAGGCAATTATTTACACAACAGCAAGCTGCATCATAAAATCAGTGGTGCATAGAGACTAATGGAGGACATTAGCATTGAAATCATTAGCGTTCTGTCTATAACAAAACTAGTGCTGTTATTTAATGGCCTATATATCCAAAGTTCAGGCATACTGTCCCGATAGTATCTCGGAATCTGCTCATGTAATATTCCTCACTCCACAATGTTTGCGCTCTACTCTGTCCTGTGGCGTCTTCAGCCATGCTCTGCTCTTATTGGGCGAGCCGCTGCTTATTATTGCGAAGAGGCGCGGCTTCATCAGGGGCATGCGAGTGACGTGTGGGGTTGGACTTCTATAAAAGATGGAAGATGGTAAATTAAAAAAAAACAGAAACAAGTTGATACGTGCGTAAGAAGAACAGGGTGACAATTTACGTTTAAATAGACACAATTAAAGGCAAGGCGAGTGAGTTTATGGTCCAAACCCGGGAGTTTAGACCAAAGGGAGAGACTGCACGACGCGGATACGGATGAGCCAAAGGGAGGAGGAGGAGAGCCGGGCATATAACGAGGAGACTAGGGGGTGTGTGCTGTGCAGTTGTGAGGAGAGAGGGGGCTTGAAGGAGAGATAGAGCGGAGAGAGAGAGAGAGTGTGTGTGGAGAGAGCCGGCCCCATTGAGGAAAGATGGCTACAGTCACTGCAAACGGAGTGTTGCTAGAGAATGGCTTCAGCACCACGACCAGCGCCGGCAGGATGAACGGTCTTACTATCGGCCAGAACACCATCCCCATGAAGGACCACGACGCCATCAAGCTTTTCATCGGCCAGATCCCTCGCAACCTGGAGGAAAAGGACCTCAAACCGCTTTTTGAGGAATTCGGAAAGATATACGAACTCACTGTACTGAAAGACAGATTCACGGGAATGCATAAAGGTCGGTCCGCTGTTATGTCTATACCAGCTATACTCTCTGATGTCACGTATGTTTTGGGGATGGGGCATTTCCCGCGTACACGTGGAAGTGAAGTGGGGTTAATTGTTGGCGCATGTGAATACTACAGCTGCTTTTGTGTGTTTACATTGGCTCCCGTTAAGGGGGAAGGAAGGGGGCGGGACACGCGTGGACGTTACAGCCGTACATGTGCTGCTGCGCTCACGACACTGTTATGGGCCACGTTTTCTGCAGCCCGTGCGTATTGTTGTGGGGGGAGAATATAGTGTTTACATGGCCTGGCAAGCTGCATTGTAACGCGGCTGCTCCGTGGGCGGCTGGCGTGTGCAATCAGGAAGTACAAAAGCGGGATAATAGTGAAGCTTGACATCTCCTCGTTGGTGCTGTCAAATCCCCTTTAGGTCCGAAGAGGGGTGGTTATTAGTAAGATCACAGCTGGGCCATTTCCCTCATTGTCACTAAATAGCGAAGATTAGTGGCTTTGTTGTACTTGACAGTTGTTATTCGTCTTTTCTTAGATAGCCCTAATTGCACAAAAAAAAAAAAGAACAGTTCCTGAATTGTTTGGTAGTGTAGGGAGAGTTTCAAAATATACGTCTTTCCCAATAACGAGCATCACATAGAGTGCCATTATCATTCAAATACAATATTAAAACAATACAACTTAAAACATTCCTTGGCATCACTGTGGAACCATTGCATTCTTCTGTGGAATGTTCTCAATCAATAATAAACATGCCGCAGTTGGAGGATCCATTGAGTTTACAATCACTTGACTGTATACACATAATCTATTCACAAAGAAAACAAATAATGTTGGACATGTGTGCCCGTGGCCACAGTTCATGATCCTATTGATTGGGCTGAATCAGGCGCTCTGGTGGGAGCAGCAGCCTCATGGCTCTGTGCTCTGCTGTGCATGGACCCTGAAGGTCTTCATGCACCACCTGTTCCTCTCCAACTAGACTCGCATGTCTCTATAGTTCTTTTATGCCTCTGCTCTGCTCCTCAGAGCTTTATGATCGATTAAAACAATATTCCCCATGTTTGTGTTGTTTACGCCTGTCCTCTAGCATCCCTGAATGTCAACACTTGAAGGAGGACGTGTACCTCGAGTAGGATAATCCTTTTCCAAAGCCAGACTGTATTGCCTGCTCCAATCAGGCTCCTCCAAGGTCTCTCTGATGTATGCATTATGCCCACTTCATCCTGCGTGACATTCAAAGTCACTTTGAAAGCGCAGGCATGCACACTTTTAATAAAATTTCACAAATGCATTATATGGATGAGTTTTTCTTATTGGCTACTTACCTTCACACATAGCTCTTGCTGCATCAGAGTGTGATACCTTTTGGGAGCATGCAAATTCAACTGTAACTAAATGGGATTAGTTGTGGTTGAAAAGTGAACAGAATATTTGAAGAGGAGATTAAGGAAAAATAAATCTACAATGAAGTATAATTGATATCAATTTAAGCAAATTATTCACGGATATAATTCAAATGCATGTTTTTACCAGCATAATGTTTTTTACTGATTTTATTACCATCAATTCAACGTGGAATCTCTTACTAAAGCAGGAATGACAATAGTAATAACATCTGATGCTGTTGGAAGTGTTTGTTATTTTGAATGTTTTTTTTTATGCACAAATGAGCTTACAATTGAAATGGTTCGGCCGGTCCGAATTCTGCATAAACAGAATTTAACCCTTCCATATCCATCCACATGTTTATCACTGGTAAATGTATTAAAACAAAAAATACAAATTCTTCTTTCTCTGAAGCAACCATTGGAAAAAAAAATTAAAAAATCCAACTCCCGAAAAAACATTGCTGCTTGATTCATGAAAGTGATAGTATTACAAACTGTGTAACTGTTGCACATTTGTGTCTTACAGAGCTCCTCACTGTTGAGAGGAATAGTTAATATGCCGGCACACAGTGGAAGGCTATTATGACAAAGGCCTTGGAGGCAGCAGATAACATTATCACAGATTGAATCCACATTTTCTTCATAAGCAGTAACACAAACATATAAGTGTAATAAGAGTAGGAGGTTGTAATGAACGTACTGCGTCGGTCGGCCGATGACCTGTTTTCGACGTCTAGGGGAGGTCGGGATTGAACGTCATATCCACGTATATGGGAGGTCATTGTTTTACGTCCAGATGCGCACCTTGCACAGACGTCGTTTGGACGTAAATAAAAGGTCACGACCGACCGACGCGATATTGACGTGATCTGGAGGTTGAGTGGACGTCGGATGTTTAGTGGGGTGACAAGGCACCATCACTACGCTCACAAAATGAAACATAATATAACTTAAACTACAAATATCTCTGCACAATCTCTAATGAATTTGTACTTTGACCATATTGACTCAACAAAGCTTAGCCTTGTTTTTCTTTTCTTTTGTTACAGTTTAACTTTGTGCAGTTATTAATACTGAGATTCATATTCAGTGGGTTATTTTCAATTTTGGTGATGATATGACTGGACAGGATTTCCAGATTTGGACCATTTCTTCACGTTCACTTTTTATTTCGTTTTTGCGGCGATCAAAAAAAAAGTGCCATTAGAGGAACAAAAGAGCAACTTTTTTGCAACATCTTTTTCACAGTCAATACCGAGGTCAGGTACTGCTGGCACTCAGAAACCAAGAAATGGATCCCTCTTTCCACAGAAAAAATCCATACCCTGTAAATGACAAGTGTAAGGTTGTGGTGCCACTTAGCACTTGGCACATTCTCTGGAGAAAGTGTGCAGAATCACAGTGGGGCTGAATACTGTGGAGAACAAAAAGAAACCTCCACACTTATACACACATCTTTTATGGAAAATATTTAATTGGCTTTTGAGCCTCACCAGCAGCCAATTAGCATGCCTGTTACACGTGAACACTGGAGCTAATTGGCCAGAGAGGAAAGCATGCCCTGGCCAAATCCACACGTCCACACACACCGCTCCAGGGAAACAAAAGGCTTGTACCGTAATTTGGGGGTCGCCAAAACTCATCAAACAGTCAGTCTTAAAATGTGTAGTATACATCTATAATATAACATGGTCAGTTAAGTTATGGTTTTAATTGGTCTAAGTGTATTAATCGTATTTAGTTCATAAACTTTTAATTATCAGCCACTAATTATGGGTAAAGAGAAAAATACAAAATCTCAGTGTGTTGGGGCAATTGATAAAGTTTTGCCTATTAAAAGATGCCAATACTTTTAACATATTTAAAGGACTAGTCTTTAGAAAAGTTTGAGTTTGCACATCCGGGCCACTCGGAGGTCTGCTGTTGTTATTATTATTATTGTTATTATTGTTATTATTATTATTATAAAAAAAAATAAAAAAATCTGGAATTCAGAGTTCAGACAAATCCAAATACTAACGTGTGAAGACGCATTGGAGGAGAACCAGAAATGTAGTGACTAATAACCACAGCGTTGTTGTTTTTAACACTAAAAGCTCAATCTAAATATAATATTCAAAGATATTTGTAAATGACTTTACAGTTTTTTTTTACTTTCAAAAACACAATTTGATTATGCCTGTCTTGGAAATGTAAGTATTTTTTTAAATCAGTTGGTTTACAGAACTGTTACATATCTTTTTAGCAGCTGTCAGCCCAGCAAAGAAAAAGTTCTGTTTTGTCCTGTTAAGTTGGAGCCAAGAGAAGTCATTCAGACTCAGGACGTACAGAACACCAGCAATCATCTCCGAAAACAGTGACCCCAGAGCACAGATCAAGAGGGTCCCAACAGCGCCACCAAGCCACACAAAGTGGCAACTTGGGGTCCAGCCAATTAATGAATACAAAAATATTGGTTGATGATCCCAATCAGAGTGCCTGTCAAAATAGATGTCTTCTATTTGACACTACATTTTAGACATTTTCACTGCCACGGTACCTTTCAATATTTTATATTTTTAATGCATGCAATTTTCTCTTACAAAAAGAGGTGGGTGGGCATTTTGCAGTTCTATTGTCTAACCCTGCCTATGCCGCTGTAAATGTGATCCTTTGAATACATTTAGAATCCAGCTATAACAGAAATGCAAAGAAAACAATCTGTGCAGTATTTGGATCAATCGGAAGCTTTGGGGCAGAGAGATGTGTGAAAACTTCTTAACTGTAACTACTGCTGCAGATTCTTGGACCAATTAAGGCTTACTCGATAATGAATTTCAAGTGGGATAGCAGGACATGAAGGAAGGCGGACAATGCTGGGGGTAAAAGCCAGCGGCATGAGGACTAGTGATCCACGGCTCTTGCGGTACACAGCCCTACCCTGGCTGTCGGCTCTCTGGACGGTCCAAAAAATTCAGGACATATGTGTAAAAATAGTGTTTCATAGACTAGACATCTGCTCTTCTTTTGTGGAATTGAATCAAGTTAAAAGAACCTCAGATTTGTTTTATTTTTAATGTATTGTATTCATTTGAGAAGAATCCATACATTCAGTAGAAATTTACATTCATTTAGTTTACATGACCTTTTGCATACTGCGCTTACAGTTACACTTACAAATGCAAATACAAAAACATAAATAGACTTTCAAGAAACAGTTTTTGCCCTAGTTTCACCACGTGTTGAACATTTTCAATTTCAATATGTCAAATGCATTTCTATTTGCAAATTGTCAGCTTGAAATCGGGTGGGAAAGAAGAAAAAACATAAAAATAAACCCAGATCAAATTGATTTTATCACCATCCTCTTCTATGCCATTATTTTAACTTTCTGAATTCAAATTGTTGTAAGTCCATGAACATTTCCTACTGATGCACAAACTGAAGCAGTCTAGCTTTTGCAAGCTTGGACTGAGATTATTCCATCCTGGTTGTAAAAATCCGACAGCATATGCTAAAGAGTGATCGATGTGTTCTTTTTAGGACATTTTGTAGAACATGTCCCATCTTTCAAACTCATTCAGTCCCGTGGGTCAGGAACTGTGCTCTGTCTTTGGAATGTCTGATGTAAAGGCCACAAGTGTCTTATTATGCCTCACTCTCAGCATGTTTTCGATTTTTCACTGATTAACACCAGAGGATTTGAATCTAAAGGTTTTCATCTTACAGCTATCTTCCCGTTAAAAAGCCTATACATTTGAATATATGAATTAATCTACTTTCTATGGTGAAATTCCACTGTGCAGAGGTGGATTAAGCACCAGTGAATCAGTTGTATAGATTTGGACGGTCAAGGAATTTGTATCTAGGATCTATACGACACATAGATGCAAAAAATATCGCAGATTGCCATTTTGTCCTTGGAATAGAGTCATACAAATGAAATAAAACAAACATCAAACCCAACATAGTAATGCAATAGCTCGGCATGAAATCAACAAAACAGACTTTACAAGCGTCTACTGTATAAATCAACCGCCCCGACAAAAACATTGAACGTGCATGTAAACAGAACACGCTCTGCAGGCAAGGGCAAGGATCCTCCGCACCTCTGATTACATCGACAGTACACCGTGTAGCTGCGGGATCGGATGCACAGGACATCGAGCGCTCATTATGCTCTTTACATGCAATTAATCAAAGCATGTAAACAGTGCCCGCCTCAGCCGCAACAGACAGCGCCGCCGTTCCCCTGTGACACCCTTAACGCTTTGCACACAAAACAAAATTTACCAAATAATCCAATGAAGTGACTGATGCTGCCGTGAACGCTCATCGTCAATCTCGAGCTGATTTAAAGACGCCGGCCCCCCGCTGAGGAGAACACACATATATACAATACCAGCGCCTGCTCGCGGTCTCGCGGCGAGGCCTGTAGTCTGTGGCGCCGAGCCAACATGTAAATACCTGCATCCCAGCGAGGGGGGCCACGGCGCACTCCGAGCACTGGGATGTTTAAAATGGAAAATATACTGTATGTGGGAATGTCTAGGCAAGCGTTTGTGTTTATAATGAATTGTCTCATTTCTCTGGCAGCAATTTTACCCTCAAT